TCCCAACCCTGCGGATGCTCAGAGTGCTTCCCCTTGCACTCTGCCATGGAGAAAGACACAGAGCCCCCGTGGCTCTGTAAGAGGGCAGGGGCCAGCTCAGCTTCAGAATCATAGCATAGAATAGAATAGAATAGAATAGAATCGCTTTGGCTTCAGGGAGGAGTTAAGGTAAAGAGGGGGAGGAGAGGCGACCCTGGAAGGACTTGTGGCACAAAAAAGGATTTGAGGGCATTCAAAAGGAAGAGAGCTGCTGTCAGTGCTACTTCTCTCCTCCCAGACTTGGTGGGCTGAACAGTACCTGGTGCATGGTGTTAGGACACTTTATGGCTCTCTGCTTCAGGTACTGTGGCACCTGCCATACATAAACACACTGACTCCGCAGCATCTGTGGTTTTGCCTTCTTCTGCATAGCCCCACAATCTACTACTTTTTATATCAGATCCACATACGCAGTAACCTTTGTTTTAGCAAAACCTCATCCTACTAACTGGAAGCACCTCCTGCTTAACAGCCACATATTTAGCCATTACATTAAAATATCCTTGTATATGAACCACTTTATGAGTCAGAAAGTAAATTTGAGCAGTTACTCATGAATGAGATCACACAATTATGATAGGTCCTGAAAACATTGGTTGAAAAGTTCAGGGGAAGACAAGAAAGCACATCTGATATTGAGAATAACGAGAGAAGGAATAAAGAGACAAGGAAGAAGGCAGATTATGGCACTGCTTAAACCTCTGATTTGCTTGTGCCTTGAATTATGTGGGTAGTCCTGGTCTCCTGATCTCAAAAAGAATACCGCAGAAGTGGAAAAAGATCAGAGACGGGCAACAAGGGCATGGAAGCTTCATATGTAAAACTACAGGGCTTTGAGCAACCTGATCTGGAGGAAAGTATCCCTGCCCATGGCAGGGGGGTTGGAACTAGATGATCTTTAAGGTCCCTTCCAACCCAAACCATTCTGTGATTCTTCAGCCAAGGGAATAGATCATGGAAAGAGAAATTACAGACATTACTACAAGATGATGAGCAACACAGATGGCTAATGACTGTTGATTGTGTCCTCCAATACAAGAATTAGAGGATATTAAAAGAAGCTTGTGGGAACAAGGTTCCAAAAAATGGACGTGGGATGCAACAAAGAAGGTGCTTTGGCAAGGAGGTGGGGTTTTTTTGTGCACATTGCCTCTTGTCCTCCCAGCAGGTGCTGCTGAGGCGTGTCTGCCTCCCTCTCCTTTACCCCCTCCCTTCAGGTGTTGATCCATGCTGATGAGATCCTTCTGAGCCTTCTCTCCTCCAGCCTGAATGGTCCCACTTCTCTCAGCCTCTCCTCACAGGAGCTTTTCCAGTCCCTTAACCATCTTTGTGGCCCTGCACAGGACTCACTCCAGTACATCTGTATCTTTCTTGTACTGGCAAGGCCAGTAAAGACAGCCCAGTAAAGACTGCCTAGTAAAGACTTACCAGTGAAGACTGAGGCACAGAAGGCATGAAATGCCTCAGCCTTTTCTGTGTCCTGCACCACCAGGCCCCCACTGCATTCAGCAGTCAGCCACATTTTCCCTGGTCTTCCTCGTGCTGTCTATGTACTTGTAGAAGCCTTTCCTGTTGCCCTCACACCCCTCACCAGATTCAACTCCAGGTTGGCCTTGGCTTTCCTAACCCTATCCCTGCAAGATCAAACAGCAGCTCTATCATCCTGCTGGATCACCTGCCCCTGCTTCCATCTCCTGTACACATCCTTATTATGCCCGAGTTCAGTTAGAAGGTCTACGTCTGTTCTGCCACGTCACTCCTCCATCATCTCCTCTCCAGCGGCTTTCCTACCTGACCTTTACATGAGGCTCTTCTCTTCACAATTCCCCCGCATGAATTTCCTTTCCATATTAGTGACCCATTCGGGTCCTCAAACACAACCTCCAGCACCATCACATTCGCATTCATCACACAGCTCTGGTTCAGTCTTTGCACTTCTGAAGAGTGCTATTTACCACCTGGGGGCTATGCCTGCCTTAGCGAGCAGGTCAGCACAGCAGAGGCAGATTTGTAAGAAGAAACCTGATGCTCAAGGTAAATGTTTCATTTGAGTTTCATCTTGACCTAAGACTAGCTTGAGGCCAGCAGCATGGCATGAATACCCAATGGCAGCTGTAGCAGGTCAGAGAAACTCCCAGAGCAAGTCTCTGGCTGTATTCAATCCAAAAAGAATCCATTTCACACCCAGAAACAAGTGCAAACTAAACCCAGAAACATGGTGCAAACTAATGAGGGCCAGAATGCTAACTGAGATGGGCACTGGAATGTCATCTAGCCTTGCTTTCACGGACCTCTTTCTATTATTGGTTCTGTGTCCTTCTCGTAATTTCATCCAACTCACTTGGCAGAGTACCTCCTTGGCACATGCAATGAGTTTGCAACGGCACTGCTCCTCTACCTCGTTAGCTAACAACATCATAGTTGATTTTCCTTAGGGAAGATTTCTCTAGCATTACTGCTTTGTGTTTTCCTTCCTTTGATTACAGAAACACAATTAAATCCAGGAAAAGCCAAGCTAATAAAGCCAGAAAGAAACCACGATCTTTGTTCAGTTATATTGTTTTGTATTTTTCCTCTCAATAAATACTTTTCCCCTTAACAGTCTTCTAATACACTGGATTTTGGATGCAGCAGGCACGCTTCCAAAAAAATTCCCAGCAACCACTGGCACCAAGAATGAGGGCAGTGCTCATCTCTAGCAGCTGAACCACTGTCCTGGAGTTGGTAAAACATTGCTGGAGGTAAGCACCTGAGCAGGACACGCAGCACGCAGACATCTCTGCAATGACCACGAGAAGGCTATCCGCAATGCCTGATTTTTTTGTTCTTCTTGCCCTCTATACTTCCAATCAAATTGCAAAGCCGTTTCTGTAGAGGAAAGGGCTAATCAAAGAAGCATGAGGAGAAGAGATGTTAATTCCATCATCTGCACATCTCCCTGGTGACATCGCCTGGAGTCCCACCAGCACGTGGCTTCGCTTGCCTTCTCAGGGGGACAGGCTGGGAGGAGAGGGGTGTCACCCCTCCCCCCTGTGCTGGGACAGCAAAGCTGGGGCTGGACTGTTTGGCTTGGCAGGACTGATTTTTAGCCAGAGCAGTCTAATGGTCTGGCTAACTCTACCTGCAAGTCCTACTGCTTTCCCGAACGAGGCTGTTAACGGTGACCTGGTCCAGACCGTCCTTTCTCAGTTCTTCTAGTACAGTTAAAAGCCCCTCCTAAAAACTGTGTATTTGGGAGTAGCGCACCCTGAGGCAAAAAATTAAAAAAAGTTCCTAACCTGTGAGCAAATAACAAAATCGCACAAGTATGTCAGGTCTGTTGTGGATCCTCACTCATACCTCCCAGTCCAGGGATCTTGCCCTCATCTGTTCGTGCTGCTCAAAGCTCTGTCACTGCAAGTTTGTGCCTCAGCATTTGCCCTGGCTTATCTCCTGGCTATGCTATTTTCTGCCTCTTCCATTTCTGCATGAGGTTCTTACCATTCCTTTTTTTCTTTTTTTTTGTATGAAAAAATCTGAACCAGCTTTCCTGCCAGTTTGCGGTTCTCTGCAAACATTCTAGATTGACTGATGTTCAGAGCAACATTTCAGATGCTCCTGTCATGCTGAGTGCCAGTTTTAAAGTCCCAGGATTGCGGGAATTTCAGCTATTGCTTTTCCTTCTTTTAAAGGTTGCTTTCTAGACCACTTGTTTGTAAAGAAAATCCTGACAGTGTCACCTGTGAGAAACAGATGGCGATTAATTTGTTTTTAAATAATGTAGGCACCAAGCTATTCTCAAGAAACTTACAGTGAAGAGTGGGAGATGATAAATCAAATCAGAAACTTATCTTTCTTTTCTTTCTTCATTGTTGCTCAGCAAGTGCTTTTTTTTTTTCTCCCCCATGAATTCTGCCCTGTTGTCTTTTCGCTCAGAATGGTTAGTTTCCTCTAATGGAATCCTTGCTAATGCTCAGTTCATTTCCTTAGCTCTGTCAGCTCATTTATATATGCCTTTTCAATATACTTTTAAGACTATTCAAGATCCTGCATAGATAGCACATTTGACTGAAAATGTTGTATTTTATGACTACTCATGTAATTTTGTCTTTTTCCTATTACTTAAACTAATAGTCTATCAAATAATGTAGAGCCAATATTGAAGTTGACAAAAATTAAATGATGTCTTTTGAGTCTTTCATGTGGATTTTAGACAGGATTCTTCGATTTTCCTATCTTGCCCTTTGGTCTGATGTAATTCCAAAGGCATTATTTCAATTTTTCTTTTTCAAACTATGTATCCACAGGTGACTGCATTCTGTCTCATCAGCGTTGTTCAGTACTGCCCATGAGCAGTACCTTTCGTTTCCTTTTTCTTCTTTGCTTCTTATTTTGAAGACATTGGTCATCGTGCGTAATTTGAACGCTACTTACATTGTTTTGCGGAGTCATAAAAAGTACCAGCATGCAAAGTTTGTAAGTAGCTAACCTCAAGCAAGAAGGTGAAGAGAATTCCCTGAATCTCTGAGGTCTGCTGGAGCTGGAGGCTGTACTACCACCTTTATAGACTGCACTACCACTTTGAGGCTGTACTACCACCCATCGGCTGAAAGCAGAATCAACAAAAGCAGCAGAGTGAGAGGACCAAGCCTGGATCCACTCTGCTGTTGCAGCACAGCCTGCCAGAGTACCCCAGCTCCTGCAAGGCTGTGAACCCCAACAGCTGAAGACTCCTCACCCCTGATGGATTTAGCTGCAGTGGCTGGAGACTGCCAACCCCTATTATGGTCCTCTTTGACCACAGCTAAATCTGACAGGGATTTGGGCTTTTCAAGGCAGGGCTTCTGTCTGGGCACGTGGCATTTTCTGGGTAGCTGGTCCAAGACTAGAATTTTTTGCTATGAAAAGTGAGGGAGTTTAAAAGTGTCATCACTTAAAAATATTTTTATTTTTTTTTCCCAAGGGAACCTTAAAATATTTACCATTTTCAAATGTGAAGTTCTCTTCACAGATGTAGATGCAAGCCATCTTCCTCTTCTTTCTCATTCTGGAAGATGTTTCACTCAAGATCAATCTCTACAGCTCAAGATCTTAGTATTTGGAAACAGTTCCTGTACAGGACAGAATCCAAATTAAGCTTGCTACTGATTTCTTCGTCTTGCAGGTAAAACTACTTAACCTTAAAGGTTATTGTCAGCAGAAGTAAGGAACTGCTATGGGTTTTGATAATATCAATGTAATCCAGTGCATCTTTATATCTTTAAACAACTGTATTATTTTATTTGGTCAGATGAATCATCAAATCTGTTTCTTTTCATGTCAGTAGTGTGCATCCTTCTATAATTTCTTTAGCCTTCATAGCACCTGCAGTTGCATTGCTCAGAGGTGGAACAAAATGTCTAGGTCCAAAAATAATCACAAATATCAATCTTTATGTGCCTACTTCAGGCACAGTTTATCGTATAACTAAGTATTTAAGTAAGACAGAACACATTGATTTTTGTCCAGGAGCTATGACAGATGTGGGCCTCTAATATGCAGTCCATCCTGCATAGCTTGTGAATTGAGCTTTCATTGTACATATACATCTATCTTATAGTAAAAAGGTATCTTTTAGTAAGGCGCAGCATTAGTTCCAATTAGGCACTTGCCTAAAATGTACCTAACTGTAAGAATATAAAAACTGTTAGCATTATCTCTGCTAGGATAACTTTAAAATTTTTGCTTCGTATCATAAAAGAAAAGTAAGATTTGTGTGTACTCTTTTGTTGATATTAAACATTAGCTCGTTTCATACACTTGATAACCAACCTTTAGCAGTTCAGCTCATTCAACATAATGTCTTGCTTTACCTCAATTCTATCTGAAGAGCTCTTTGTGTTAAAAACAGGTAATGTAGCACTGTTGTTACTGGCTTTGTCTTGGAACACAAGCAAGAGGAGAAAGATAAAGCATTGTACAGAGAAAGAAACAAGTACAGCTTGCTGGGTACACAAATACCGTTATCAGTGGATTTTGAGATTTAGATTTTATTTGCAGCTGGCAAAAATAGTAAATATTGAGCCTAGTTCATAGTATTACTGGTTTTACACTAATACAAGGTAAAACCAGCAGACAGAATAAAGGAATCTTCTATGAGTCTTTCTTCACTGGGTGTGAAGACTTGGAATTT